TAATTATTTCAAAACAGACACTATTATACTTTATTTTAGTGATGATAATTTGGTGGTAAAAACTTTTTACTTATAAATATAAGTTTTACATTATATTTATGGTAAATATATACCCAACTAGTTGAAAAAAAATCTGATTGTAAAAATTTTTAATATACAAAAAACTAGTCTGAAATGATGAAACGAAATTGTGATATAAATTTTTATTAGGGGCGGATGAGTTTTTAAAATTTGTTGATATCGCTCGTTTTCAGCTGCTCTTATCTCCAAATACAATAATTAATAACAGTTAAACAATAAGATAATTATTATATTGATGTGTGTTTAATTGTACTTTTTTGTGTACTTGTTTCGAGTAAATCTGAAAGCACAGTTTCATTGAAATTTTGCCACTCTCCCCCAATTTTTAAAATTGGTTAAAAATGTAATTGAAATGTTTTATTTTAGTTGTTATGAATTTATTTTGCAGCTTGACACAATAATTACTTTAATTAAGAATTTAGATCAATATCTGGATTTATTTACTGTAAACTCTAATCAAAGCATGTTATAAAATTGTTTATCTGTGCTGGTATAAAGCCTTGTGAAATTAACTCTACTCTCAATGGGAATAGGTTCAAAAATTTTGTTTTTATCAGGCCTCAAATGAAATTTAAATCCTATTATAATTTTAAATGCCATCTCGAACATTTGTAAGTTTAAAATTTATTTAATTGTTACCTAAACGTATGATTTATACAATTCTACAGGCTAATAGAATATTCAATTTTTTATACTAGGAATTTGAAATAATCAGTTCAATATTTTGCTGAATATTCAACTCTTATAATAACCGTGTGTGCGGTTCTCTATTTCTCGCTGCGTCGAGAGAGAAAAAAAAAATTAATTCCATGGAAGGATCTCTTGTTCCATAAAGAAACCGAATATAACGATCCTTAGTCATTCACCGCCATAAATTCAGAAGCTAGAAAAAGAAACCATGTAATTGCAGCGTGTTGATAGCTTATTAGCGCACATAGTGATTAGAACCGAAGAAATTTACGGGTTTTCTTCCTATTTTCAGTTTCATCTTGATAGGTAAATAACAGAACTACAAGCCAGTATATCACAAACCTAATAATTTACATGAACCCGGAAGAGCTGATTCTAGATTCTATTTTGCTCAAAAAATTAATTTATATATAATCTAATCGCTGACCTCCTCAAAATTAAATTCAAAATAGTTGTTAAATTTAATAAATATTGCAATATACATAATAAAAATATTCTATTCTACCGATTTCATGATATTATAGAAATTATCTACTATTTCTATTTATGCTTCATACATGGTATTTTGGTCATTAATTTTGAATCGGGTTATTAAATTATTTAAAATAAACAGTCTATTTCGATTATTAAAATAAATACTTAATCCCAAAATATGAAGAAAAAATTAATTATAAATAATGTTATTAAGTACAATATATAAATGAAATAAATTTTGCTCATATTAATATAAATTTTATTTAATATTATTTTTCCATTTTGTTTTTGATAAATATTGGTATACATATTTCAAATCGACCATTCAATCATATTAGTCAAATAAAAACAGAATTTTTGTTAACACACAAAAATTCCCAATTATAAAGACCGGCATGCCACGTTATCTTTTTAAAGAAATTTGATAAAATTTATTTGATTTATGTGGTCCTTTATATTATATTATATTTATATTTTATATTATATATTTTATAATCAAACTATATTATATGTTGTATATAATTTATGTTTATCGCATAGTCGATTTCATCCAAAGCTATAAGCCTACACGTATAAATTATTAATAAATCTCAAATTACAACTGAAATATTCATATTCATACAGCATTATTATTTAATGATAATGATAATAGAAGGTATGTAATATTCATACCTTTATTATATAATTTACTGTTATACAAAAATACTTAGTTTGTATTTAATTTTCCGAACGAAAAGTCTCATACAATCTTTATCTTTCTCTACAATATTAAAATCTCCACGAGATCAAATTTTGCTGCATTTTTTGTTCATTACTTGAATTAATATTATTAAAAACATTGTTATTTTATAAATTTCAATTACTTAGACCTATGGTATCTTAATCGTTTATAAAGATCATTTTATATATATGTACATACTTCATAGTACAATTTTATAGACATTTTTTGTATGTTTGTAAGGTATTTATTATTTATCAAATTTAATATGAATTTGGCCGAATATTTAATTTTAAAAAAACGGGTGTACGCTACATGTACTTATATTAATACTTTCTTAAAAAAATATTATTGTTTATATTTATATGTTTCCAAACTTATTTTATTTGTATTGTAGAGATTGCCAAAGAAGTGTATTTTATGAGTCTTTAAAATAAATTTTATATAATAATGGATGTTTAATTATATCTTAAAATTTAGTCTATTAATTGATATTATATTTAGGTAATTATAATTATATTTATGTATTTATTAAGATATTGATAGTTAAAAAGTCAATTGTATGGTTTTGCCGTTTAAAAAAATACTCAAAAAAACTTTAAAACGGACTGATTTTGGGCTACTATTTTTGTTAGTATATTTTTGATTATATAAAAATTTCTATTTGCTCCTAATATAATTCTCATTTACACAAAAAATTAGATAATGAAATTATATCTATAAACGTTACGGTACTATAAATGTTTTGTTTGTGCTGCAAGCATATCATATTCAATTTAATAAACATAAAATTCGAAATAACATAAATTAACATTTTTTTAAAAAATGTTTCTCATTACTGTTGAATAGTATATATTTTTAAAAACCATATAATGATTAAAGTTTATTATTATTACAAAGCAATTATACGGCTGCATTATTTTGTTATACTGTTTAAAAAATCTCCTCGTTTGTATTATAAATATAAATTAAATTAAAATTTTACTTTTTAGTAAGTTATGTGAAATATTTATTTATTTCAAGACCATCTATTTATTTTTTTGCAAAGAGGCTCCTAAAGTACACTTATTTAGATTTTTAGTTTGTCTTATATTAAATATAAAACTTGTACAAACGCTAAAAAACTAAAGGAAGTTGCGTAATGTCGCTAAAATCATTCTTGACAACCGGTTTGCAAGGGCCTGTCGCTTTCTATTTAAAAAGTATTTCTAAAAATTAGGAATTAACCATCCGTGTTATTATTATTATTATAGATCATTACTGTATTTACTAAAATATTTTTTTAGATATTTTTGTTAGTCCAGTACAAATAAGTATGTGTGTGATTCTGACGGAAAATCGGCAAAGTTTCAACTTGCGTTGGTTTAAAATAAATTGATTTACTATAAAATGTTATTTCTTTCTAACGTTGATAACAAGTCATCTTTAAATTTTATTTATCATTTAAGGCTTTGATAAATAATTATATTAAATTGATAAGAAAATTTAACTGTTTTTTTTTTCACTTATAATAATTAACCGTTTGTTTTATATAATGCGTTTGATACAAATCCGTAGTATTAAGATTTATAATAGAAAGACAGGCTGTAATATTTTTGTTATAGTTAGGCCGTTATAAGGACCATTTTTTTGTTTTTCTAATTACCTACAATTCTCTATAAATATAGGGTCGGTTTGTAAAATGATAAAGAAATTTACATATGAGATAAATACTTTCTTTAATAGATTAAACCTTTATAAATATTTATGGCGGGTTGAATAATCTTAAGTAACTGCCTCTAATTATTAATGGCCCGTTTTTTAATTTAAATCAATAACTATTAGTTTAACCAATCTCGTTTATAATTGAGAAGCAGCAGTAAAAAAAAAATAAAAATAAAAAAAGATTGGTCGGGCGACTACAACAATAATTATATCATATTTATTTATAAATGAAGTCATCATAATAATAAATTGAAACTGGATTTGAAATATTCATAAAATCCTTAACTAATGTAAAAGTTCTTTCTTCTGAAATAACGGTCTTTTTCATCCAATTTTTCTTCTCTCTTCATTCAAGTCTTTTTCTAAATTTTATCATAATTCTCTCATATATTTATGTAGTTCCATTTAACTATTTTATAAATATTTGTTATGATTAAGATCATTACTAAGTACTGCAAAAATATCTTTATTTTATAATTTGAATCCAGAGTTTTTAGAAAACTATTGTAAGATTGTAATTCTTATTTTCAATATATTGAATTTCTAAAATTTATATTGATATTATAATTTGTATTATCCAATTTTAAAATAACATTCGAGATGAAAAATAAATAATAATAGAGCTCTTTATTATAGCACTTGAATTGAAGTTTCTTATTTTCTTCTTACTTCAGGATTAATTCCTTTAAATCCGCCATTTATTTCCTGTTTTTTAAAATAAAAACAAAAAATTTATAGTAAAAATATATAAACATATTTATTGTAAACAATATAACTTATTAATTGAACAAATGGATTATTGTTGTAAAAGTGTGCAATTATTTGGTTTATAGATATTCACTATTATTTTATTGTTTTATATACTAATATATATTTGGGTTTATGTTTTATAAACTTAGTTTTGTGATTTAATTTTTGAATTTGTATTGATTAAGAACGGAATATTTTACTACTGCATATTACACTGGACACTGGCGGTCCGCTGTTGTACTGGGTCTATTTGTATACAACCAGCAGGCCGTCATATTTAACTTTTTGCTCCAGTAGATCTGATGCTTGTCATTATTAAACAGTGATAACGTCAAACTTGGCTATTCTGTATAGCTGAAGCCTGGTATGACTTCAAGAATTAATAAACAAAATTATAAAAATAAATATAAAAAAATAATTACTCTATTCTCTGAAGGCGGGAAGAAGACACACTGCCATAACATTTGATTTCTATTTATTTCACGAAACACTTTGTGAATTATTTACAAATAAATTTAACCTCAAACAAAGAGATATTGCACATATAAAGTATAAAAACAGAATAAGTCTAATAGTTAATGGTTCAAAGTTTGTCGAGAGCCCTAGAGTTGGTGAGGAGTTCCCTGGTGAGGCGCCAAACGTGCTTGGCCGCGTTCTCGAGGGCCGTCGGTGACTTGCCCTTGAAGAGGTCCAAGTGCGGCAGGAAGTAGTGGGGGCATCGCCGACACTGCAGGCAGGATATCAACTGCATCAAGATCCCGCTCATCCTGTCGCCTAAGCAAGACTCTTCCCACTCTATTTCTCGGGGGTGCTTCTCGCACTCATAGAGCAGGAGGGTCTTGAGGTGGTAGCCGGTCACTGGGTTTCCGGGGAGTTCGAGGTGTCTATCCCTCAAGGTCTTGAGGAGGCTGAGGCATCGCCGCCGGCAACCGCCTGCCAAGAGGCGCGATTCTACCTCAGTGAATGACATGACCCAAGCGTCACCTTCCATCGCCGATTGCTTTCCCTGCATGGCGGCACATTCCTTGCTCAGGAGGTCGAATCCTTCAGTCTTCACCTCGGCCACTAGGTTAGGATGAGGCCAGGGTATGTGCGGCAGTGGCCAGTGTGCTGCTGATCTTGGCCACACCCCCGAACACTTGAATGATGGTGTTATCTGAACAACGTAACGTTCTCGTATCCTCAACTTCACCTCACTCGTATCGGCTATCATTTTCACTGAGTCCCTGTAGGCACATTTGTCACATGCTTGTGCAACTAGCGTCTGGAATCGTGATCTGATCTTTCTCGCCGAAAGGTATCCGGAGGCAGTGATGAACTCGACCCAAAGAGACATGCTCCTCTTTCTTCCGTCACTCAGTTTGAGGACAGCACAGCCTGGTAGGGAACCGTCGTCGACGAAATTGAAGACTCCCATTTGGTTCAGATAGAGGACTACTTCGAATTCGTTCGGAGATATGACGTCCAGTCCTTCGAACCTGCCGTTGCATTCTGTGAGTGACGATATAAACCTCGGTTCTTGTACTTCGACCTCCCTGAGCACATCCTGGATAACCTTACACACTTCCCTTACAGTCTTTGCGATTTGAGTTTTCCTCACTTGCACTCTTTCTCCGTAGTATTTGTTCAGCTGGTAAAGAACTTTACTCTGGGCAGCTAGCATGTCCGCTGGCACCAACATCTCGCCCGTCTTTCCCCTGTCATGACCGAGAATCGACTGAGCTGCTGGACAGGGCAGGAGGCGGTGGGTGGCGATGGGAGGTGGGAGATAGGGGCGTGGCACCCGGGACCAACCAGTGAGCTGCTAAGTGCCTCGGCCCCGCCCATTGACTCGGATCAATAATTCCCGCCCCGCCCACTACGGCTGTTAACCCCTAATAGATGGTTACAACCGCAGTCATCACCGTAAGGCTTAGCATATCAAGTACCCGCCTTTAGCCCTCTCCTTTGTCCTAATAGTCATATATTTATATCTGTGCTCTGAAGTAAAATGATATTGCTCGATTGACTTTAAGATAAAAATTGTTGGTGCCTACATCTGTTAACACCCCTTAACTACATATAAGCACATCTAAGATTTTCAGGAATATCCTATGTTATCATTATCCCTTGTGTAGCCGAAGTAAATATATTTTTTTTTTTTTTGTTAATTTATTATTTCCGTATCAATTTTTTTTTATAAATAAACTTTGATCGTCTGGTTGATGATTTGAGACACTACCTTATTAATTTTAAATATTTCAAACATGCCTATTTTTGCCCACTATGTCATTAATACAGTATTGGTTTCTAATTACTATTGTGTGTTTTTAAATATTATTGTATGACATTCTCGAAAACTGTTCATAATGAATTAATTATAGAGTCAATTATAAGTATGTATTTTATATTTCCCTCTGCCAAAGGAAAATTAAGTCACTAAATATATTTGTTTACCACTTTGCGGTTGTTTATCAAAGCAAAATTGAGAGTTCCTTAAAATTCTAAAGATATTTTTGAATTTTTATGATAGTGTTTTGAACTATAACAAGTTATGATTAAAGAAAATATATTTAAATATTTGAGACATACTGTTTCTAAAAGTGTTCAACGATAGCAATAACGTTGTACTATTTTATTGTATGAACGCCAGATGAAATAAAATAATCAATTTATCACTTATGTAATTATTGTCTTTAATATTATATAGGATTTAACCATAACGTTTTAAAGAAATCTTATAAAAGTTTTAATTGATATAAATTCGAGAATTACCGTTGCTTCTTTTCAATTTTTTTTATTTTTAGCTTAAATTTCACCCGTAAAATTTATATTTTCGGTAACTATATTTGAATGTTATTTTTTGGAATTGCTATTCGAATATTGGATGTAGCTATTTATTTGAGAAAAAAATTATCAAACCTAGCTCCAAGTGTACCGTTTGTTCCGTTAAAATATTTTTATATCACCTTATTTATTTTTTTGATTTTGTAAATATGGTGTGAATGTGCTCTCTGAACTCTATTATAAATGTCATTTATTGAGACAGATTTTAATATTTATCAATAAACAAGTAATCCAGTTAAAAAATATATATATTTTTTTATATGTAAAATAAATATACCATATATTTTACGATCTCTAAGTAACACAATTTTACTATTTTTCTCATCATATCATATCTTACATGTATGATGATGTGAGTTAAAATAAATATTTATTAATAACCTGTAGATAAATATTCTCAGGAACTCTATATAAGATTAATGACAATCAATATAATGATTTTTATATTTGATACAGAATTTTACTATATAAAAAAAATAACAATTATTATAGAATATATCTTATTAATAGAATATTAATGGCTATTCTAGGTTTTGCTATCATAGATATTTACAGCTGATTTTAGACGTTTAAAAATAATTTGTTTATATATCTATTATATTTGAGCGACTTTATTATTATATACTTTACTAAAGTATAGTTGTTACTTTGTTAAAACTTATAAAAAAATAAATTATGTATCGGAAAAATATAAAATAATGAGACAAATAGTTAATTTAAATTGCAAATGTCATGTATCTCATTTTTTTTTTACCATTTTACAATTGTTTCTCAGTATAAAATAAAATCAATTTGGGAAGTGCCATAAAGTTTTGTAGTTATTTTTTTTTTAATGAAAAATTTTTGGTATTGCAATGTTTTTGGAAAATTATAAGTTATTTGATTGAAGGCAAATAATTCCAAATTTAAGACATATTTTTATTAAAAGGTTTTTTTTTTAGATTTTAGATCTACGAAGAATAACTTGAGTGTAGTACTTTATATTTCAATTCAATTAATTTTTCGATAAACGCTGAGATTTCATTGGTTTCATGAAATTACCTAATTAGTTAATGTGGGAGGAGGATCACATCGTGCTAGTTGGATCATTCTATTTCATCCGTTTTATTATAGTGTTGTAATATTAAGAAAATAACAGTTCTTAATAAATCCATTAATCAGTTATAACATTAAAATCGGGACGATTTTTCACTTTACATCGATTGCATGTTAGAAATTTTTTATATTTTTAAGTACAAAGTAATCTCTGAATTATTGGTAAGAGCCGTGGAAGAACGGGAACTGTTTTAAATTTCCACATTTTTTTTTTCTTTTTAGTGGTAGCAATTATCGTGTTTTTTAGTTTAAGAATATAAAAATCAGTTATTTTTAATACGGCGTTCCTCTTTGTTTTGATCTAACGAGAAAATTATTGCGTTTCTATTGATAACCTACCCAGCTTTTGAATATATATATATATATATATATATATATATATAAGCGATAACGCGGAAGGAAATTGAAACAAATGAAGCAAGGTAAGAGGGCACACCGAGAGTTTGTGGAAGAAGATACAAAGTTTTAAGTACAAGCGCAGAAGGATAAATTTAAAACATTCATTTACCTGTTGTACGTAGTTTAAGATTTTTTTATGGCATATTTCAGAAAGACTGAAATAAACTTGAAAACAAATTAAATAAATTTTATATTATGTGTTATTTTAATGGCTCCTTACCTTTATTTTAAAATAAATAATTCTAACTAAAATATTCAAGATTCAAATAGTCCAAAATACATCTTTGCTGACATTTTAAGGTTTTTGTATATCATTATCATGGGCAGTGGATTTCAACCTATAGTCCTTTATCGAGGAAGAGCCTATTTATTAAACATTTAGAAAAATATGTTTAAATAGACGATGACTAAAATTAGGAAATGGAATTAAAAACTAATAATTTACTTAAAGATTAAAGAATTAGGGTTTCGAATTAAAAATATTAGATGTTTTAAAATAATATATTAAAACAATTTTAACATTAGATTAGAAAAATAAAAGGAATTAGAGATAATTGTTTTAGTTCATATTATAAGTATTCTAATTATGTTCAGATAATACAAATGAATGCTTAAATAGAAAAGAAAAATGTAATTTAATGATTGTAAATATAAAAAAATATATAAATAATTATATAAGAAATGTATGTATTGAAAATAATAAGCATAAAATTAGGGCAAGACTTTATATTGAATAGTACATGAAGTGTCAAAACATGAGAAAATCAGCCGGTAATGATTTTTAGTGTTAATGAAGTATTAATATATATAAAATATTGATGTATATAAAGTTTATAAATAAAAAATTGTTAGTAGAAACGTTTTAGTTATAACTATAATAAAGCTGTTTCTGGTTTTAGAAGTTTATTCGTAGACGAAGTTGAAAATAATTAAATACTATGAAAATAGTGTCAGTTTGAAGTTTATTATTAATAGGGAACAATTCTCAAACAAACAAATTATAATTTAAATTGATTAATTATTTAGTTTTATTAATTTTCAATTAATATAAATGATCATTTTGATTGTTAAGTGACGAAAACATCGTTATAAAAAATAAGGAAATAAGAAAAAACTATTGATTAATTAAATTTTTCAAAAAACTATTTATTTAGTAATATAGCATTCCGTTCCACGGACAATAATATTAGTGAGATATGAACACATTCACACCATATACACAGAAAACATATAACAAAAAGTATATACCATAAACAATAAAATAACTTAGGTAAATTAAAAACATAAAGAACACAATTCATAATTCAAAAATTAAAATGCATGCATGAATATGTCATCATATATGTGAATATGAATTTGTAATTATTAATTATTATTAATATTACTTATATTATTATATTTTTGATGTTATACACATACTAATTGTATTAAGTCTTAGAAAAATGTTACTACTGCTGGTATTCTAATTACTAACGATTTATAGGTGTAAGTATAATATTTTTTTTTTAAATTATGTTATAAACAGAAAAATACAAACTACAAAGCCATGAAAAACTACAAAGTCTCATATAATTATATAGGCAACTTGCTAACGTTTCGCAAATTCAGGCAGAAAAAGACTAACTTATAAGCAGAAAGAAAAAGAAAAATAAATGAAATAAAAAATATATTGCTGTAGATATCTTACTAAACCATCCCAATATATGCTAAAGGGAAAAGAGGATTCTATATACACAGCTTAGGAAAGTTATATTGAACAACCGACTAGCAGAAATACAAGGAAGACTTTGCAAGACCAAAACCAAGGCCGCCTAACTGTTGCAAGACCAAGACGAGATTGGTAAAAAAAAATCTATTTTTTAAATAAAAATTAAAGCAAAATAATTACTAATACTTGACAATCTTAGTTACTATATGATAATAATTGGTGTAACCAATATACTTTTGCATTTAACACTTCTAATTTTTCATTCGGGCTTAGTTAGGTTTCTCCTATCTAAAAAGTTACAGTAATATCTCTACAGTAATAAGCTAATAAGTAACTGCAAGACTCTTGCGCAAGACCAAGACTGAGTTTGCAATACCAAGACTCGTCTCGGTATATATTATTTTAATGTATTCTCGCTAATGACACAGTTTCTGTAAGCAGTAATTGTCTTACAACCAGTACTTGATAATATAATCCAGTACTTGATAGTTCAGCCTATCAATTTTATTTTATTTAAAACACTAAATCGAAGTGTTACAGTTTATTCCAATATTTTATATTACGTATCGGACTTGAAAATACTTGAAGTTCACTTGGTGAACTACTAAAGAGCGCTCTGAATCTCCGTGTTTTGAGTTGAAAGTGCCGTTTCC